CAGGTATGTAAGTGCACCCATGTCATGCAGTGCCCACAGAGGTCAGAGGAGGGTGTGGGATTACCTGGAACTGGAGTTACATATGGTGGTTTGCCACCATGTGGATGCTGCAAATCAAACCTGGGTTGTCTGCAAGAGCAGCCAGTGCTCTTAACCACCTAACCATCTGTCCAGCATCTAACCCTTCTGTCTTGATCCACTGATGAAAATAATAACTGTCATGGTCTAATCACCTGTCAATGGTGCTGCAATTTGGTGGCCACTTCATGTTAAAACCATTAATGCCAGGAGATGTCTGTATGCTTAGTTGGTATGAATAGAAAGAAGAAAAATAGCATTAACTGGATAAATGTTACCTTGGTGAAGATAAGTTATAGCTAGGTGACAAACAGGATGTTTTAGATTCACACAGGCCTGGGTTTAATTCCTTGCTTTCTGTGTGCTATATTATGACTGGGAACATTGCTGATAACTAGAAATATCTCCTGCTAATAAAAAGAAGATAATATTTATTATTTAATGTGTGGTGCCGGAACTTGAACCCAGTGCCTCAAGCATGTTAGGCAAGCACTGTACTGCCAAGTTACATCCCCAGCCCAGTAAGATAACATTCTTTTATAAAATTATTTGTATTATGTGTGGAGGGGAGGAGTCATGAGCAAGTACCCCTGGATACAGAAGATGTTGTCAGACCCGCCCCGCCCCTGAAGCTGGATTTCCAGGTGTCTGTGAGCAACCTCATGTGGGTCCTAGGAACAACTCTAGTTCTCTGCAAGAGCATTATGTACTCTGGATAACATTCTAGAAAGGCAGTTGTAATATTGTTTATACAACACGTAGATCATAGCCTAGCATAAGTAGATCATCAACAAGTGTAAATGCTGCAAACATATTTTGTACTAATCTGTTTATAATATCAATGTCATTTTAATGATGTAAATAACATTTTTTATTTAGAGCACTGGATGTTCTTGTAGAAGACTCAGGTTCAGTTCCTGGAAACTACATGGTGGCTTGCAACTGTGTGGGTGGTGGAACATGCCTTTAGTCCCAACACTTGGGAGGCAGGGGTTGGTGGATCTCTGACAACTAGGCCAGCCTGGTCTACATAGCCCTTTCTAGGGCAGCTGAGGCTATAGGGAGACCCTGT